ACAAGTTGATAGGCACTTACTGAGATATTCATGGAAAACAGTTTAGGAGCCTACCTCCAGGTGAAATCTGCGGGAATTAGGAGCCTAATCTTTTGAAAACTTCACAAGGCACCTTTCTGCATCTTCAAGCACCTGAAAGAGTCCCTTTTGGGCCCAATGCTTGCCTCTATTTTTATTATTGATTTGGAGGGTGGAATAGAGAGTGAAAAAATCAAACATGCAGAAAACTGATTGTTGGAGAACATACTAGAAAAAATATACATATAAATCATATGAGCTTGATTAGTCAAAGAATTCTTTCAAATAGTAACATAATTAATAAATATTAATATGACATCTCGTAAAGATAAAGAAAGCATGGTATAAACAGGACAAAGCAGTATACTGAGAAAACGAAAGATGACAGATAATCACCCGGAGTAGAAACAGGTGGAAGAGGGAAGGAACAAGAAGTTACAGTAAATGGTACATTAAATATGAACTCACATTGTGGACGGGGTGAAAACTACTTTGCCACTGAAACATAAGAAATAGCACTGGGGAGGAGTGGTTTGCATTGAAAAAGGGGTTGCATAATAGGCCAGCCACCTCTGTACCTCTTATAGACAAATAACATAGCAAGCTGCAAAAATCCAAGTTCTACAGGTAAAAAGAAGTTACATGTAGATATATCAACCATTTTCCTTTCTTCTGAACTGATTCTATTCTCAGAACAGCATGTTCTGTTTAGTTTTGGCCAGTGCTGTTTAAATGAGATCCTCTGGAGATTTTTCAGAGAGAAGAAACTTAAAAAAAAAAAAAGAAGAAGCTTAAAAGCAGATCTGAAGAAAACAGCCGAAAGAAGCTACAATAACTGTTTTCGGACATAGAAAAAGGACATTGTTATCCACTAAGAAGAGAGCAAGAAATGCTGGTCGTAGACTGCAGTAGAGAAAAATCAGGTTAAATATTTGGAGAAACCGAAAAATGAAGAGTTTTTGACAACAGAACCAGCTTCTACAAAAGACTGCAGAATCAGTGTCTCTGGGTATATTGAAGGTTGCATTAGTCCCTGGTCCAGCGGAGATCATAGGAAGGTTTCATTCAGTTCTCATTTTGCATAAAGAATGGATTTGAATACATACCTCAGCCGCAGAAAGACTATGAAAAACGATATGATACAGAAGTATGCTATTATGCCAAAACTGCAATTTATACAGGCATAAGACCAAAAGGAGACAAGGACATATTGGTAAAAGGAAAAGAGAAAGAAGTAACTCCTTTTAGAGATGAGCAAGGGAAATTTTCCACAGATGGATGGACAGAATGCAAGGATGGAAGTAAGTATGTATGTGGGTAGGTTAAAGTGGGAACAAGAAAAGAATGAAAGCAGACAAATGAGGATGGACAGTAAGAAAGGCAGCTTGTAGAGATCTGGCACAAGCAAAACATTCTGGCTGAAGGAAGGAAGTAGGCATCCAGAGTCATGAAGCTCAGGTGCTACAGTTGGTTGGAATTTTTATTCCAGAATACAAATTTCTGGATAACACTTCAGAAAAATTTTATGTTTTACAAAGACGGCAAACAGTATATAGTAAACAATCCAAAAGTGGTGGGACCACTCTGACTGATGGTTCCCCAGCTGATCATTTGACAACCACATGACATCATTTACATATGTAGGTATACATACATTCATTCATTCTGCCCCTCCTCTAAAATCACACACCGAGTTTATTTTGAACAGCTGAAGTAGAGTATCTGGAACTTTTCTTGCTTGACATCACAGGCTTTCAGGACTACTCTTCACTAAACTTTCAGGCATCTGCTCTACCTTCTCATCAGGTATTCAAACTACATTTGCGCCTGCTCTGACACAGCAGCTGAATCCATTCTGCTGTGGTACCATTTCTTGCCTATATCCATCTCACACCTTGCTTTCCTGCCACTTTCATTATCAAGCTTTTTTCCCAAGGGAGCTCAACGCACAACACTGTCCAATGGAATTGGCTGAAAATATGACTAACCAGTTTTCCACTTGCTGATTTGATGAAATCAAAAAATTTCATGACTCTTGGCAATTTTATTCATACTCTGAATGACAACTTAGCCAAATATTTCATACTAAACTTCTGATGCACTATATGCTCAATAAAATCCACTGAAATATTTCAAAATACTTCATTCCACAAAACAAGAAAATTCTTTCTTTTCTTAACAACACAGGATAACACAAAATGTTGAGCTTTCACAACCTTCTTCAGCATAAAAATTCCATATTTCCAGTCAGGCTGATTGCCTGTTCTAACAAAGACAGGCCTTTTCAGGAATAACACCGCCATCTTCCAATACAAGGGGCAGTGTCAGCAAGGAAGGAGGTGGTGGTGAGGGAACGGAGGCTTGGTGCTGCTCTTTAATCATCTTACCAACACATAGACTAGGTGTTTCACATATGGATGAAAGCTACTGAATACAGATATTCTTGTTTCCTATACACATGAATATATAACTATGAAAAAAGAGTGGACTAGTTCTTCACCACAAATCACTTTTTGTGACTATGTCATTAAATTACAAAATTAATTGGTTTTAGATATGCTTGTGTCCTCACTGTAGCCATTTTCCAAACGCAAATATGAGAACACATGGAGAAAAAGCAACCTGCAAGTACATTAAAGAATATACATAAAAAGTAAAGTGTCAACTCATTAAGGTAATTATTTGTACTACTAACGTGATTCTAGGAATAATGCTTTCCCAAACAGGAAACACATTCAATATTTTTGACCTGCATGCTTCCACCCAAAAGTAAGCTGTCTGCTCAAAACATCTGCACATTGAATACTGCAAAACAATTTCTAACCTACCATAATTAGATTGAGATTTACCCATAAAAAATATTTAGCAAATAATTTCAAAGAAAAAATAGATTCAAGAAAACCTTTAACGGGCTCACGATCACTCAAGCAGGAAAGACACCTCAACTGAAAAAGCTGGTTATTAGCAATGAGTTATATGTAATATTTCTAAAGAAAGTTAACAAGGGTGGGATGTTATTTCAGGATGATAGCACTACAATTGGGACAGTTCTCTCCTTCTGCTCCATAGTAAGGTAAAAAAGTTCTGCTACCACATAACCCTTCTCTCAGCCATCTACACTGGAAAAGGAGGAGTCACTGGATTCCAGAATTTCTTATGACTCACCCTCTGACTATACGTTTCTTAAAAATGAAAGATAGCTGCTAAATGAAATAGAATTTTTTTCCCCAAAACCAAATAGGAAATTCATGCTTCAAAATGTAAGCCAAGGTAAAATTCTGTGAGTACAACAATGTGCCAGAACCTTGCTTAGATTTCTTAGCTCAGACTTCTGCTGCTTCCTTCAATACCTTAACTGTTTTATCTACTATTTGCACATCACTACTATGTATGTTGTGAGGTATCTATAAGATTTAAAAGCAGAGCAAGATCAGACAATAAAAAGTCACTATGTTCAAAATACACCACTGACAAGTATCTTTGGATTTAGAAGGAGGTTCCAGAGAAGAGATAAAGACAGTCATGCATACACCAGCACAGAAAAGCTATGGATTTCAACAAGAAGATGCACAGTGGACTCCTACATAAGTCTTAGGAGACACATTTTAATTCTTTCAGTGCACAAGAAGAGCTGTTTAACTACAGTAGAAGTTTCCTGACTCCTCACATCTTAAAGAGCTCTTCTTCCTTGATCATGTGTTCAGATACTCCTATGCATGTGCAAGTCTTTCCACTTCTACTTATTATCAGTAGTCCTTAGAATATTCGTCTTGCTGAAGTACGACACCCAGTGTGTCCATCACTGTACTATGCAAGGTCACCTGGTCTCAAGATAAGAGAATATGATTTGACTACATGGAATATAGCTTTCATTTACCACACTTGTTTTGTATTTCTTCATTTTTTAAAAAATAAGCAGGAAATATTTGATTTAGATTGATATAGTAATGGTTGGTCTTTTAAGGTCAGAAATACTGCAAGAAGGGTAGATAGTGAAGAATGGGGAGTTCTAATTGTCCCCAAAACCACCAAACATTTGTGGACCATGGAAGTGAAGACCTCCTACTATTCTCCTACTTCTACCAACTTTGGTTACCTTGCTAACTTGTAAGATAGAAGGTATTCAGTAGCACAAATTACTATTGCACATACACACTACCGCAGGTGTTAAGGTGAGAGATCTCAAAAACATGTTGGTAAGATAAGTGCCCCTCACAGAAACAACATAACGAAGTGAACAAGAATATCAAAAGAAGAAGAAAAGTACCAAGGACCAGCTTGCAAAAAACCACATTGCGTACCAACTGCTGGTACGCATACTTTCCATATTTGGACTCTGATATCCTATTTCCGTTTGGACAATGCTCTACTTCACCAGCAGTGCCACTTCAAGATTACAAACAGCATGGCCACTTTCAAAAGGAGTAAGTGTCAAAACCACGCATTCCAGTTGTGTTTGCTTCTTAGGAGGGCACAACTCCTGATCACACCATAAGAGTCCTTTCTGAGTGAGGGATAAGAATAAGACCTTCAAAATTTAGACCAGTGAGATTTTAAAAGGACTGAAGGAAAGAGAATCACCAAATATATGAAGAGATACAACAAGGGTGAAGTACCTTTATCGGAGATTTTTGAGTTATGCTTTTGTTTGTAACTATCTGAAACAGAGAAAGAAATAGAGGGTGAATCTTACATGGGGAAAAGGAAGATAAAAGGCAGAGAAGCCAGAAAGAGAGAAGGATAGAGAGAAAGAAAATATGAGAGATGATTTATTATAGTGCAAAGGGAAGTGGACTCTTGCTGAGGACTTAATTTTATTTCCTTCATGCAAAAACACCAAGAGCAGCAGCAGCAGCAGGTGGCAAACATGCAAGTCAGAGAGCAGCAGAACACTTTGCTGGAAAGGAAAAGATGAAGCCCTGAGTGCACTGAGCTGGTAGGACCAGGCTTAAAGCAGAGTCAGCTGTCTGGGTACTACTTACTGTCACAAACATAGGGTTTGTCATGATCGTCCTGGGAGGCAGCATCATTCCGTCTCCTGCCACCTCCAGATCCCCGAGCCTGCAAGGGCAAGAAGACCCGTTAACATTATTCCACTGCCCCTCAGGTCTCTTGGTGCCCCTCACCCTTCTATGAAAAATGTGCAATATAGACTAAACAAATCCTCAGCTTCCACACAAGTATGCCAGGAGTGGGCTTGACCCTTCATCTCCTAAGATATGCGCTATGTTAATGGACCTTGCAATGCAGCAGAGATCCCCTCCACAGATAAACCAAACTGTTCATCCATAGCAGTAGGTCACTGCCAGGACACATTCAGTAGAAGTATCATCACACATTCATTTCTGAAGATGTTCAAATACTTTTATTACTGAATGTGAGAGAATGCACGGATGAACAGGTGGCAGAGGATAAATACAGCCCTTAAATCATTCAAAAAACAGGCCCCAAATAGAACAGAATCAAAATTATTTCCTTTAATATTTCTAAAGGGAGAGTTGCTTTCTTATTTTAGGGTTTTGTTTTGTTTTGTTTTGTTTTCTAGCTAAAAAGCAAGGTTTTGAAATGGCCTTCTAGCAGGGACAAAGATAATATGGTTAATTACAAAGTGGAGCTTTGGTGAGTTAGTGAAAAAGATTAGGTGACACAGCTACCTGCTATAGCGCAGAACTGGAATTACCCAGAAAGGTCCCTTTATAATTCTATGTTCCTAAAACATACCAACTTGACAGCCCTGGAACTAAAAACCTCTGCTTTGTCCATCGTGCACACTGCTCTGTCCTGAGCTCCAAGGGTAAGAGTAGAATTCAGCATCAAAGCACCTTGGTTCTGACCCTTCTCAGCTGAGATGGCAACATGAGGACAGTTAGTACCAGTCTAACGGTAGAGGCTGTGATGTGGAACTGGGAACTGAGCGCAGGTCTTCAGTTATTTAGTTATTTCATGTTAGTTAATGTAGAGTCTGTAGATGACAATAATTTTAGACTAGACCTTCATTTGAGCAAGTGATTTGGAGATGGATGGCTAGGTAGCCCTTTAATAACTCTGGAAGCTACTCTGTTCTCAGGCAAAAACAACCAAATTGTTACTGCTGTTTCTGTTAATAAACTGTTGATGCCTCTCTCCCTAAACAAGACTGCCTGACTCAAGTCCTCTGAGCTTTTACATGTGAAAATAAGAAAGGGACAGAGCTTCATCAAGTAAAGCCAGAAAAGATGCAGATATTCTGAGAATGTTAGTGCTCCAGATACAAAAGGGTCATATTAGCTCTGTCTCCCTTCTATGGATTTGGGACTGCACTAGCATTCCATCACACATCTACAGTGAAGGAACAAGAAATAGTTCTACACTGGCCTACCAGTGAGTCTATCAAAATAGAGATTTATAAAATCTTCACGTGTTTTTTCCCTGGAATTGCTCAGATCTAACACTTATCACAGTCCCAAAGGAAAGACGTGGATCTGCCACTGTCTGGATGGGATAAATACTATTAGGTACGGCAAGGATAGCTCTGCAAAGAGCTCAGTGCAGATCAGCACACACATCTGAAGTGAGATTTCTAAGGGTGAACTGAAAAGTAGTCTCACACTGGAAAAGGACCCAGAAACAATTGTTTGGTGGAAGCCACATTACTGACTGTATTACTGACTAATCCACAATATTTTCTTTCTGACTGCCAGCTCTGCAAACCCACTCTGGGATGCGAGATCAGTCCCGGGCTAATTCCTTTCTTCCCTCATTACTGCAAAATGTTCTGCAAGTCAACTTTAGGTCCCTGGCTGCTCCTGTACAGCTCTCAGCTCATCAGAGACTCTTCACAGAGGCAAGTGATTGGCCCTTAATAAATATTTCTGCAGGTACCTGGACTAGGATGTTCCCTCTTTTACCAGGCTGCACTGGCTCTTCAGAGCTGTGAAAAAGCTGTAAAATCTTACTTTTGTCACTAATCAGGAGGTCTGACTCTGTTTACACACTGAGAACAGATCTGTTGAGTAAGAAGATACTATTTTTACACAGACACCTTTCAGAATAGGGTGGTAATTTAAGGTCTGTTGCTCAGAGTTTCGCTAGTCTTACAGCCAGCTGTTTCCCTTCAAACCGTTCTCTACAGAAATGCAAGGGTACAGCATTCATGTCATGACCACACGTCAAATATACTTTTTCATGCACTGAACACAGAGGGGGAGATTTTTCAAGTCAGTGACTTTCAATGGGAGTTGGGTTCATAAATGTCTTTAGTGCCTTTGAAAATGTCCCATGGGGTATTCAGCTGACGAGCACGCAATCTGTACAGGTGCAGCTGCATTCCTCTCCCATCTCCTAGTGAACTGTCTCTCCTAGCTCCTACCAATATTTCCCTGTCCAGCAAAGATACTAAAAAGCTCCTTTTGTAAATCCATCTCTTTGGCCTTCAGTGTCCTTCCTAATGCTCCCATGATTTCAAGGCTAGCCTTGAGGGGGTAGCAAACTTAGCAGCTGCCTCAAAGGCACTCAACTGAGTGCCGCTTGCTTGCTGTCAGCACTCCAGTCTGTGGCATTCAGTCATCCACGACTGCCTTCATTCTCCTGACGGGATGTAGCACAGACTAAGTGACTTGATGTATGAGACCTGGAAGCATGGCACAGCAGCCTTGAAGCAGTACTGAAGCAGCCAGAGAGACAGTAGCCAGAGGGACAGATGGAGAAGTCCAGGATTAAAAATAAAATCATGCTGTAGGAAAAGGAAGGAGCATGTGAAATTTGGAACGTCCAGAACAGTAATTCTGCTGCATTCATCCTGCATCAATGCCGTCAGTCCTTCTCATTCATTCTCCAAACCCCCAAAGGCCACACTCTGCAGGATCTAGTTTCCTACGCATGTCCTTTCCCTCTACTACTCTCTAAAAACATCTTGACAAACTCCTTCCCAGAAACAAGGTGAGGCCCAGGTTTCACATCCCCTAATTTCAAATCCTGGGTCAGGATCCCCACATTGGGTCAGATTCATATTAGAAAAGGGCTGCTTGAAGAGTGGCAACATACTTGTGACCAGACGCAATTCAGACTTTGACTCAGGCTTACCACTTTTTAACAGCTAAGGAATCTGGCCCTGATTTTGAAATCCTAATTTATACCACATTTCACTATGGTTATTGATGCCATCAAATAAAAAGGAAAATTGCTTAAAGTACTTGGCGCTCTTCAAACTTCTCTTTTTTGCACTGTGTGAAGTCAGGGCACTAGCAGAGCAGGAATTAGCTGCAAGAAAAAGGCAAGAGATTCTGCTGTTCCTGTACTTAATAGGTGGTCAGCCTAGGGCAGAAAACATGATGTAAATTTGTACTTCTAAATGAATGAGACACCTAGCACTGCCCAACTCCTTTCCTTACAGCAGCAAAGAAAAAGCAATAGAGTTACTCTAAAGTAGTTTCCTGAATAGGAGAGTACAATTTTGCACGTAACAATAAGTTCAAGACTTTGTCTGTATAGCCCTGGAATATATGATACAGCTAACTCTCTTCTTTCGAGTAGTATATTCCTTTTTGCTATTCACTCTTTCACTCACCCTGACCAGCATGCCCAGTTTATGTGAGAAAAACTCATTAGAAAAGAGTTGTTAAGCTGGAATATTAGTTGAAAGCTGCAGTCAAGCTTGTGTGCACGTATCAATTCTAACTCCTGGTTTTGGTTACTGGTTCATACAAACTTTCTCAAACTTACATTTTTCTGGAAAATTTTTTTCCAGGTGGGGGTCTTTGGCTAAGAAAGAAAGAAAGAAAGAAACTGGTTCAGGTGATTTTGAGAATAAGGAAGGTGAAATATATACTTATCCAGTTATTAAAGTGCTTTGATCTTATATTAAAGGACTTAAGCTCCAAAATAAACAGGAGCAGAAAACTGAAACAACACAACAACAGAAGAAATCAAAAGAGAGGGTCTGATGCATAAGTACATTGCAAGTATTCAGTGTGGTTTCATGCCTCTCTCTTATTCAAAAGCTATTATATCCTGCTCATTTGGCCTAAAATGTGGCCCGTCTTGCTTGACTCCTACAAACATCAAAAGGCACTTCTAGAGCTCCTGTACCCCTGCAGCGCCCACTGCAGCTAAAGAGAGATGAAAATGCTTGAAACTTCTGAGAATTGCATTCACTCTTATTTAGATGCCTAGCTTAAGGGGCTACGATTGAAAATGTTGATTTCAAGTTTTAAAACATTGGCCTCATTATTTAATGGGCTCCCTGCTGAAATTGTGAGAAGACATGCTAAGTAATACTGAGAAGGGACAGGGACTCCCTTAAGAATAAAATATTGCCCATTTTAAGTAAATGGGAAATTTTTCATGGGCTTCAAGAACGCCAAAGTGTCAGCCGCAAAGTGCTACCTTGGGGAAAGCTGCAAAACATATTAACACAGTTCAAGTTACCTTTATTAATATTTTTTATTTCGGCTGTTGTGACTGAATTTGCTGTTTCTTTTTTGTAATGAGTAAATGTTTCAAAGTAAGAGTATTGTAATAGCAGGATGTCATCACAACTATTATAGTTTACATTAAAATTATAAATATATCACTATAATAAATTCACCCCATCTTTTCACTCTCACAATAGTTTTTTTTCTTGGTAATTAGCAAAAACAAGCTGAAACTATACAAAAAAAATCTTTAACTATTTCTTTAAAATTACCCATAGGATTGTCACCACCATATATCCACAGACATACAGTTTGCATACGCAGTACATGTGAAATACATACACTACAAAACAGAGGTTTGCTTCCTTCCTTTCCATTTCAGTAGACCATTCACCTACCCGTCCTCTAGGCCTGTTCTTTCGTTTTGGAATATCTTCTTCCAAATCCTCTTCCTCATTCACTTCATCTGCATTTTCATCATTTTCTAAAACCCTCTGTGGTTGAACAATGAACAGGAATGTTTAGAAGAAAAGATGATAACACATATAACCAACTGCTGCTCTTTACCACAGAGACTACAGGTTATTAAGTTACAGTTGATTAATGATATAATGCCAAATCAGATCCCAGAACCCCCATTTCTTTCCACTAAAGCAAAATTTGTTTTCCCTTCCACCCTCAGTTCTCCAGGAAGTTCTTATTAAGGAATACCATTGCTATCAGGCAACTAACAAAAAAAGTTCCTAAGAAATACCTTAGTGGCATCACTGAGCACTCATATAGCAGGACAGCACAGGTATTAACCTGCATAAACGCAGGCCCTTTTTGGGAAGCTGTTTGCATGATCTTGGATTTGGTTTCTTGCACCTTAAATTGTTTTTACTCTAATGTCGAGAATGTTTCCTCTCATGTTTTGGAAGACAGAAATCAGGATTTTTCAGTTGGCAGCTTGAATTTTCTCTGTTTAGCAAAAAATATTGACAATTCCTCCATACAGTCTAGCATTTTTAGTGAATCTAGACAGTAACACCTTTTGGGGCTTACATCATATACACAACTCTGCAGTCGGGAAGTTGGGATCTTGCTGCATGAGAATGCTGAGGAGCTAGAGGACTCTCTGAAGTTAATAGGAACAATAAAAGTTCCTTCAATTAATTAATTAATAGGAATAAAAATGAAAATAATAATAATTCATCATCTCACATCTCACAGGGAATTTCAACCTTTTCATCTTGATCTTACAAACGTGACCGCTAGAGAATGAAATCAAGGCTGGCAGCCCTGAAAACATGCACAGATCAGATATAGCATGGATAAAGGCAAGACAAACCATCATAACACGAATGTGGAAAGAAGTCCTGTTGAATTCCCCTCAATCCTTGGCACCTCTGTTGGAAATACAGAACAGGGCTCCAGCCACTCCTGTCATTCATGAGGTGAGTATCATTTCCTAACGGTCTAGTCTGAAATCATTAACTTATTTTTGCCATGTCATCAGCCATTTAAATGACAATAAAATTCAGCCATGATGTAGATTCAAGTCAGTGTCTTAAAATGGATAGGGAAGTTTTAAATCTTTTTCTGTATTTGATCCTTCTATATAATTTCTAGTTAACAGCTGTTAGAGATCCAGTAGAGGGAGAAAAGGAGCAAATCACAGTGGCTTTGTCTCCTACCTACCTAAAGCACTGAATTCTGGATTTGTGGAAATGAATAAAATACAAATTTTACTAAAGAAAAAAAAAAAAGAAAGCTTAAATTTGGAAGACCAGCCCTACAAGTTTATTCTCATTTTATGAGCTAAAGTTTTAAGACAAACATTGGACAGTATCCCTTTAAGAAGTGCAAATAATTTTTAGAACATGGTAGAAGACCAAGTCTCCATCTGGTTTTTGCACCTTTTATTTTTAAATCTCAAGAGGCTATTAATGGGGTCAGACCACCATGAAACCTAATTTCACATCATTTTAAATACTAGAGGATGTAAAAGTTAAGCAAGTTCTATTTCCGCATACATAAAATGCTTCTTCAAAATTTATGCAATCACATTGTTTGGTCAGGCTTCATATTAGAAAGCAGGAGCACCCAGAAAGTGTTGTACATGAGGACAGTATGTAAGAAAATATGCAGCCTTCCTGATAAGAGTCTAGATTTTCACAGTGCTTCACATCTTAATGTATCTCCAAAACAGAAAAGGCCGCAATCACATCTTAGGTGGGAGCAAGGTGCTAGTTTATATCAATAATAGTACACAAGAGCATTTAAAAGAAATATTACAGACCACCTTCTCCAGTTTAAATTGTAGCGTCAATTTAAGAACAGGGGAACAAGTAACCAAGTGTGAATCTGGTAACACTGCCAGGGAAATGGCTTCAGTTCTTGAGAGAAGTGGCAGAGCCTTTTTGATGCACGTGCAAAAGCCCTTTTCCAGCAAATGATGGAGGCAGCTTCAATATGGATTTACTGCAGGGTCAAATCTCCAACGCCTTTGAAAAAAAAAACTGCACAGCAGATCCTGATGACTGTATCTATTTAACAGGGCCAGCCCTTACCCTTTTTGGCAAAATATCTCTTATTTTCCAATTCTGTCTTTCTAAAACAATTTCCCAGGTCAACGTACTTTAGTACAGCTAAGCACCAAGTCTTCTCCTGATACATACTGTGAGTTTAGATGGTGGTGTGAGACTGGGACCGAAGTGGGAATTACAGCTAAGTCTATTCCTAATGCTCACTGTCGCCACCATTGAAGCTGGGCCCTTTCAAGTTATGACATAGAACAGCATGCAAAGGAACAAAAGAGAGATTTGCATTCTCTTATTCGTCATAAGGACAAAAGGCATTGAACATGATTTTGATCTGGTACCATCTAGCTGTCAGGTACCAAAGTGTATGTTGAAAGCTGGGCACTAGTAAAGGCTTCAGCAATCACTGTTGTATAGACTGAATCCAGCTAAGCTGTGCTTGCATAAGAAACGACAGCAAGACATGCCCTTTGTGTCTGTTCTGATGAAACTAGCATCCATATGACAGGTCACAGCTCAGGCACTTTAGTCGAAAACTCTTTGAATGTTGTTGTATCCCCTCCCTGCTCTGTAATGCAGAAGTGCCAAGACTTCTGCCAACTCCACTGTCTCTGAAGTCTCTTTTCTTGGGCTGTTGCTGGGATAACCTGGGAGCCCAGATTGCACAGTAACATCCAAAGGCACTTGTCAATCTCATAAAAATGCTGCAGCCTGACTTCTTGTGACCCTGGAAGTGGGTATAAACAGGTCCACTAATGAAAAAGGAAACAAAAAGAGGGTCTCACATAGAGCTTTTCCCCATCCCGTGAACATGAGATGCTTCCTCTTTGATAGAGCTCCTTTACCTGCGTTACTAGGAACTGGAGACCTATCTGACAGCTCTTACATGTGTGAAATTTCAGTGGAGCATGAGCAAATAGACCAATAGGTCTGAGCCCCAAGTAATGCAGATTTGATTCTCATGCTTTTCTGTGTCATTTGGCATGGGGCTGCCCACTCAAATTGTTATGAGTTTCAAGTATAGATGCAACATCTTGTATTGCAGATAAAATTGCTAAGTTTTACACATTGCCAATGGTTCTTACTAGAAACCACTGATAGAGACTCATAGCAGAATGGTGTTTTAGCATCACCAAAGATTTGCTGCTGCTGCCCTGAGAGAGCCCTGCTTTCCTATAAATTTCAAATGTCTTTATGAAGTGGTATTCTCTTATACAGGCAATATCCTTTTATTAGCAGGATTCTTTCTATGATAGACCCACAATTGTGTTTACACTTGTGAAAATTGTGAAAGGATGACAAGGAATCTTCACAAGTAACTTTCAAAGCTGTAATTCTAGGAAATATACAATATTTCTCTTACCTGCATCACTATTAATATCTGAGATAATTAACAATAAAACATTTTTAATGATTTATGTTGTCTGTATACCTCCTGAAGGTCTCTCAGTATGTATAAGAAAGAATGGACAAGGCAATGACATGCTTTTGTTTACGGTCAGCAGCTGTGAATCCAACTTCAAATCCATGTCCAGACTCCCTCTAAACTTGAGGTAGTAAAATCCAGTTTATGGTTTGGACATATCTCTGCTTGTCAGTTTTATATGTAATAATCTCATACTGCTGCAAATTCCAGTAGGCAAGCCACGCAGATCACTGACAAACAACCCAGATTCTTGGGACAGGAAAGGTGTACAAAATATACAAGGTACACAAATCCCGAGTTCATTTTGAGCATCACAATGTAGCACAATGGTTTGATAAGCAGAATGATACAACTATCAATAGATGCAATGGTTCTGCCACAGGACAAAATCTGCTAGGCTTAGAGACAAATTGTAAAATTCGGCCCTGCTGTCAGTGTATGGGGATCTCCTTTACCTGAATTTCCTGTATAGTGTCTTCTTCTTTAGTGTCTGTTTTTTTCTCTATTCCCTCTCCACGCAGCAAGGCTTCCAGAGTTGTACCTTCTGATGTGAAACCATCTTTTTTCAGAGGCAGATCAACTTCTGAAAAACAAAACACACAGGCAGCATGTACCTCCCTCAGACAGCTAACCAGCAGAAGGACAGAGATGACACGTAGAAGACTGACAGACTTTCAGGTTCATTCCTATCATGAAGAAGAGTTCCTCAGGTTCTTCTTTTACTCTCCAAGGTCCCCTTACAGGATTCATTTCTATCTCACTGAAAATCTGGGACCTTTTAAGTCACTGAGTATGCTTACAGGAAAAAGAGGCTGGATATACTGCAACATAACAGAACAAAAGGAAAAAAAGTCCTTCTCCTTTAGGTAAACTCCCCATGCTTCAAATAAAGAACAAAACCAAGGCTTTCTAAGATACTGAAATAGCAAATATGAAGATCTGGTCTCCTGAAGCAACAAAGTAGCTTAATTACACACATCTGTATCTGGCACAGTATATATGGCACAGCTACAGGCAGCATTTTCCTACATCAGGGCACGTTCTATATGTGGGGAAGTGGAAAAGCTAGTATGTGGAGCCAATGCCGAGAATCACAAATGAAAAAACAAAGGGATGTGTCTTGAATTCTCACTGAATATCAACGCCCACTTTTGACTGGATAAAACGTTCAGTTTGTTTTAAATGGGACTACACAAATAAAGAAACATCAGTCAGCACAGTTCAGAGTTGCAGAATCTCGCCCATAAAACAGGTTGAACCTCAGCCACTGCAGAGAGAACCAAAGGCCAGCTCAGGGGCAGGCCTGGGGCACATGACTCCAAAAGAAAATGAAGGTTTATGAGGAAGCTTGAATCAGCTTGCCATACAGATGCAGGAACAGAGCATAATTCCCCTTCTGAATGCTATCACTAGATTACGAGATAGAGTACAGCAGGCAGGCAAACACAGCACGTTAATCTCAGCAGGATGTTAAAATACACTAAGGGAAGAATTCCATCTCCCTTGTAGATCCTGGCCTCTTCCCTACTTGTGTAGGTGTTCATTCAGAGCAACCCTACGAAAGGGAGATGTCTTGAACATCACCTTAACTTATGATGCCAAGGTGTGGATTTCTCAAGCATTCCCTGCTTTCTAAAATAAATTCCTTCCTCTAGGCCACCAGATTTACAAAGTAATAATATACAGGACCGATGCTTACAAATCAGCATCTGGTGTTCTGATTTCACAGCTCTGTCCACTTCTCTTCTCTCAGGGCTGTGTTGTGTTTAGCGGTCTGTCTGAAGCTCCCTGCTTTTTCATTACCACGAGTTGTAAGCTCTGCGAAGCAGAAACTCACATGTTGATACAGTCCCAAATCACTGCTGCAGTCCAAACAATGACCAAATATTTCCACCCAAGACAGTAAAGTATAATCTGTTCTCCGGGGGTAATTGTGTCCCAGGAATACGCCTGCTCTATATGTAAAAACCTCTAGCCAGCAAATGGTTCACGGTCCCTGATTCGTGCTTCTATGACGTGCTTGCTCCAGTCTTCTAAAGTGAGAGAACACTGCTCAGCCAATAACCACAGAAAATCCAGCAAAAATTCCAGCAAGAGCTAGTCTATTCATGGAGGGAGAGGCTGAGCACAAACCATGCAGAAAACCCATACCACTGGGATTTTTAAAGGAAACTCCCAGGACAACCCACACAATGGGAAGGGGTCAACAGTGAATTGACCCCCCTTCTCATCACAAAGAGTTCTATTCAATCAGGCCTCTGTTTTCGGCATTAAGTTCTGCACATCCTCCCCTATTTTGCCACCTTCCCCAATTTCTCCCTTACTTGAGTTGTAAAAAAGACAGAGAAGTTAATAGAGAATCATATAGATTGAAATTCCCCGTGTAAGCTCCTAGTACCTCCCTCCGGATGCTAAATCCAGACATTTCAAAAGAAAGAAGGGATTTTAGATTTGATTTACATGCAAATCACAACACTTAGGCCTAAAGTCACTAAGGAACCTCCATAACCAACTCTGACTCTGGGCTTGGCTTGGTTTCAAAGTCCTCTGCCTGGGTGCAAAAGGGCATTTGTTCTGTATTTGAAACCTAGTGAGACTGCAAAATCCAACAGGTCAAGAGGAAAAGAAGCTTCAAGCAAGCTCAAGGGCATCAGTAACAAAAACGTCTTCACCATGACAAGCTATGCCAGTCTAAGCATATCAATACAGTCAGCAAATGAATGTATTAGAAAGGGGAATGAATAAGGAAAGGGAGTTAAGAAAACCTATATGAAAGTAAAACTAGTTTTTATTTGTTCCTGAGATACTGAACATTAGGTCAGAGAAAAAGGTAGGCTTTAAGGTCAGAAAAGGTCAGCTGTCTTTAAAGGACACACTTGTTTTGTGTGGTGTTGCTGCTTCCCACTAGCAACACTCTAGGAGACTTTACATCCAAAACTCTCAGAGCATTTTTTAATCATTAAATTTGTCATACCACTGTCAGGCCAGCGTAAGGTAACACTTTCATTCACAGTTTAGTGACAGGGAGACTGAGCCACCAAGAAGTTAAATTAGTAAGCAGGAAATCAGGGGAACAGAAATTCAGGGCAGCTGCCTCCCATCTGCCACTAAGCTAACTGCTATCAAGTTCCTGTATTTCCCTCCCCTCCAATACCTTTTAGAGGCCATTTTCTTTTCTGAGTAAGGAGCTCTAGAGAGTGGAAAATGGCAGGCACTACCTTATTTGGCATGTACAGTTTACAACATAAAACCTGCAAAGGTCCAAAGATAACTTCTTTGTAATGAATTCAGTCCTTCCTGGAAAGCAGCTAGTCTGTATAAGATACAGAAATGGAGTCAGGAAATTAAGTATTTCTGCTTAGAAAATGTTCTACTACATACAATGTTTCCAAAATACTTTTTGAATCCTCATAGATAAAAGCCTCTAGAAATCTAAAAGACGGTTCAGCTAACCTAGACAAGTGGTTAAACACTACCATGGCTCACAAAAATCATTTTATTAAATCCCCAATGTTTTCTTTCCCATTTTACTCTCCAGGATTTTCCCATGAAAGCTGGAAAAGTGTTTTTTTCCCTTATGGCTGCATACTATAGGAAACTGAGAAGTCAGCTCAATGCCTGAAATGTAGTTTTCACGTGAACTATCAAGGCTTCACCTAAACCACTGGAATTGCTGTACGAAGCAGACTGGGGTCTGCTCCACCCAGTGTCCTGCTTATAAAGGCAGCAGCCAGTGTCAGCAGCTTCAAGCAAGGCCAGGGAGAGACTCTTTCAGGAGTGAGAAATTAAACCGTGCCCCCACGCTTGGCTTTATATTTGTTGTGCTCCACTATGCAGTTGCATCAGATGCTGGAGAAGAAGGTGTAAGAGTCTGTTAGGAGAAAAATGCAAAGGAAAATAACATACCCAAACACAACATTTCATCCTGATCTCTAACACATCAGCCCTGAGGGATAAATGCAATATTACCTCCAAAAAGTTATCTTGAATCTGGTTCTTCTGGAAATACACAGAATGGCCCGCACCTTTTTCAATTTTGATACGCTTTTGCCCTCAATGTCTTCCTACCTGAGTGTGTTCAACAGTTTGGTTTGAAGGAAGCGTTTTCTTCAGCTCTTTCACTTTATTTTATAGACTGGCCCCTTGTTCTTGGTACAAGACAGCAAGAATAGAAGCTGCTGACCAAACGCATCTGTCATTTCTTTTTATTCATCTCCTTTCAAAGATAAACAATCACATTTTTTTCTATTACTCTTCCTGTGGGAGTTTTTCCACACGACTTTGTCCTGTCACCCCTCTCTGAACCTCCTCTCGCGTTCTTCAGTAATCTTCCCAAGATGGACCAATACTGTACCCAGTATTTTCAGATGAAGCCACACACCCCCTTTCAGCAAATGCATTACAAATTTCTTTATATTATCCACAGTATTATCCTTTATGCAGCCTAATGCAACGTGGACAGCTGCACACTGAGGAGAATTAGGAACCGTCTAACTCTGAAAAGAACTTCTAGTAAGTAACACTTAACATACAGGTAAACAAATTAAAGTGTCATCCCACTGCCTATTTACTCAACACACTCAGATCTCTCCAAGGAGGCCCTCATAGACCTCTCTGGCCTTGACTATTCTAAATAACTTTGTGCCATTTGCAAGTCTTTGTACTTCACAACACACGCTCTCTCTCCCCACCTTGTTCATTACTATATTATGCAACAGTGGACTGAATGCAAGATCTCGATGTGCCAGCTATTAGCCTTTTTCTGTAACAGAAATTGTTTAATTTTGCTCTTTGCTTCCTCTTTTCTAAAAGCTTTGATCCAAGACAACACTTTGTTTCTCTTCAGAGGCCTATTACATACCACAAGTCTTCAGAAAGTCTAGGTAAATTGTCAATATCCTTATCTACTAGTCCTTTACAGATCACATAGAGAATTTTATGAGAGTAGAGAGACAGGATTTTCCGTTGTAGGAAAAAAAGGCAGTTAGAACCTCCTATATCCTCATTTCCCAGGTGTTTTACTGCTTACTCCTAATTACTGTTTCAATCAATTTCTCAAACATGCATGTAGAATTTATTGGTCTTTAAATCCTTGAATCTCATCCAAATCCTTTTTAAATACAGGTAACAACATTTGTTACCCACCAATTGTTCCTATTCTTTCTCCTGTAACTCCCAGTTTGCATCACAAGCCCTTCTTCAGGCACTGCAATTTCAGAGAATATAATCTTTATTACAGCTAATAACTACTAGTAAAAGTAATGACTAAAAGCTTACTCTTTCTAAAAATAGAAATTTCAAGAAAGTTTATAGATACAATTCCTTTAGATTAATATTTCAAATGCAATAGCACCTGGTTGGCATATGAGACACAGGAAAGAGGAAAGACTGAAAGTCAGGATCAAGCAAAATACAAGAATTAAAGCAACACAAATCATCCATGAAAAATAAAATGTTATTTAAGAGTTCTTCCTGTTTTAATAAACCAAGATATTATTGGTGTCACAGCTAAAGACTGTACATATATTTGTAATTCAAATACGTGTGTGTACATATAATTAAAATTTATGTTTCTTAACTTGG